GCAGTGTAAAGTTATCTTGCATGCAAAGATATCCAATGATAATTTTCAATGAAATCAAATGTGAACCTTTCAGAACACATATATCGCACAGCGGTACTAAATATAAAACAAATAATCAGCAATTCCTTTAACGAAAAACAAAATCCTCTAGTATGGGTATTGGATCTGTCTCATTCTACTTAATATTAAAGCAAGACGTTTTGAAATTACTAAATTAAATTTGGAAGTGCAGACCGCATGTATTATTTTTTGTTGTTTTTGAAACTGAGTATAGTATACTGAAATCTGTAAGATGTGTTATGCTCATTAGAAAACTTTGCTATAAGATCTTCGGGGTGTGTTCAACTTGAAACAATATTTTACTGAGAAACAAACAAACAAATGAAACTCTTCTAAGGTGATGGGTTTTGAAGTCATGAACTCGTTTGAAACTGAATATTAATCCATGATTCATGACAATGTAGTCCAGGTGTGAGTTATGAAAGTTCTTAATGCCTTTCAGCTCCGAATCTCGCTTTGAATCCCCCGTAATTGGCAGGCTTTTTTTCTCGACACACTGCTTTCTAATATCACGCTCCGGCGAGCGTTTTGATGAGAATAAGTGAATAATGCTTCCGAGGTGTTGGGATACCGTGTCGGCATTTGAATAAACGAATTCGATTCTCAGGTGTTAACATTTCTGGGCAACATTATGACGAGACAAATCCATGAAAGAGGCAGTGTTTTTAAAGTAGTTTCGGATAGGCTGAACACTTTGGCCGTGAAGTTAAAAAAAAAAATGCAATCATATGTGTATAAGATGATGTTTTCTTTAACGAAGCTGTGCGACGGCACACTGGAATGAACTACCATGGAGAAAACAGTGATTTAATTATTGCCATGCCAATTGAGGGCGCTATGCTCCTCTTTAATAAAGGTTGAGTTGACTGTCTGAAAAGGGATGGAATTGAGGTCAAGGCAGAAGAGGTTCGAGAGAAAAAAAAGATTTGTTCAGGGATCGCCTTTGGCATTTTTGGCACTTTTAGTGCAGGCGATCCAACATGAATGTCTGCAACAAATACACAAACTTGTCTCGTTTTGAATATAGAGCTATATACACGCAAATTTGATTGAATCGATGCCAATACGGACGCCTGAGGCGGCAATGGGCAATGTATAATGAATACGAGTCATGCTTCGACTCCATGGTTACGCATCTTCTGAGCTAATGCATCTCCGGGTGACCAGACTAGCAAAGCAGAAGGAGGGAAGTGGGTCTGCCATATTCATCACGCGTGGTATGGGTTTGTTAACGACGATGGATATTGATTCCCAATGAAATGGTAATTCATAGCACCACGTCGATGTTATTAATCCTTTGTGCAATATCTAGGACGCAGCCTTGCTTGGTATATCAAGCCTAAGCAGTATGGCATTGTTATTTGCTCAATGTGCGTACACGTCCAATGCAACCTGTGTTATACCACTACCAGGGGAGATAGTGATGCTAGTGAAAGTCGAGGTAGTGTCAGGTGTGTCATGTTTCATATAACGTTGGGTCATGCCTGCTAATGATTTCACACATAATGATCTCGGAGCATTGTCAAATTATCGACACACCAAAGCGCTTTTGTTGAAACTCTAACGCCTTTAAAGGTCAGGTGTTTCTTGGTATAATTTACATCAACATAAAGCAAACACGAACATGTATACAGGTTGTCCCACAAGAAAACCTAGTCGAATCGGGCATGTTTTCAGAAAAGTGGGGGTAGTATTCAAAATTATTTTAACTGTATTGCCGAGTAGAATAATTGGTCTTCCAAATAGTTTTTTAGTTGGTTTCATTAGGATATACATGTATTGTTTAAAAGATATATACAACACTCACAATACGGGACTTGAAAAACCACTTGAGCCACTTGTTTTATGTATCAAGTTTACAGATCGAAGCCGGTAGAACAAGTAACACGTTACTCTTGAACAAAGGTAAAAAAATCCTTCGTGTGTTTCTCTATCTGCGCTTTCTCACTTTCAAGGAAAGTGGCCAAGACAATGTTCAACCCTTGAGTTCGATTATTATTATTATTATTATTATTATTTATTCGGCCAAGATTTGCAACAAACATTTACAGAGAATATGACAATGTAACTCCAGAGGAGACAAGATTACAAGTATAAGAAGTCATGAAACAATACAAATAAGTGTAAACAAAAGCAAGGAGCTATGAATAAAGGCAGCAATGATAAAAGGCAAGGTTGTTACAGAATAAGACAAAACAAGAACAGAACAAAACCCAAATAAAGATGGCCAGGATTAATAAAAGTGAACTTAAACACTATGACTCGAAAGCCTATCAATCCAATCCTAAAAGGGAACACGGAATAAATATTATGAAATCTGTGAACAGAGCAATAGTTAATAAAAACAACACACATTCATAAAAACATAAAAATACAAAACTAACAAGCATAGCGTTTGTTCCAATGCATCGATTTGAATGAAATAAAGTTTGTATGGTAGATTGGTTATCTGACTTGAAGAGGCAATTTGAAAATATTCCAAAACTCACATGCAATATACCTTTGTTAATTGGTTTGCAACTGTTAGGTATTTTGTGGGACAAGCTGTATATTAAAGAATAATATGTTTTTGCATGGAATCTTTTACTGCTTAAAGTACTATTCTCTCAACTTAGTCGACTGTTGATGACTTTGTGTACACGAGTTTCGGTCATTGTATAAAAAGCAACGAGTTGGTTGTGCTAAAATTTAACTGACCGTCATTTTCAAACACAAATTGTCAAAGCAAGTATTGCAACTCAACAGTGCCCAGCTACCGAAATGATTAATGTGATATTTGTTAAGTGTCAAGTTGCTGAATGCGTGGGAATTTCGCTATCATTTTGATGGGCTTCGGACGCAATTGACTATCACTATGACATCGCAACGAGTGTGGCATACACCATCGATGCATCTCGGGGCATGATATGGGGAATGAGGCAAGATGTAAAGGCGTGACCCCAAGCATCTCGACATCTTTGATAAATGATCGTCTGGTAGATACCCTATATCACGAGGTGTGATGAGAGGGAGGGTCGACCCGGCACATCATGACGTTGAATCTAATGAGAATCGTGTGGTGGTCGTGTCACAACTGCTGAAATCGACAGGTCGAAGTGCCGAGGTGCACTCAGCCTGTAGATAGTCACGACAAAGTGCTGTGTATATCATGTCAGTTTGGTAGGTTTCACTGATATCTGTTCACATTAATCGATGTACCAGAATGAGGACACACATGTCTGGGTACTAGCTCACTGGGTGTGGAATGAAGGGAATTTGAAAAGGGTGCGCGATTGTCACTTTCATAGCCATTTCACATTTTTTTTAAGGAGGGGATGTTATATCATTATCAATCGCCATGTTGCATCATGTTGCACTTAAAATAAGTGTTACAATCACGTCATCATTTTTTTTCTTTAATTTTCTTGGTTTATGATTTACTCTGATACAAATGAATTTCAACTGCATGCGACATATGATTTTCCGTAAATTACAATCGCAAATGACGAGGACATTTTTGTAATAGTCGGAATGGTATACTCGAATTTGCCCGTGCATAATACTGGGAATAGCATACTATGGCTTATTTTAATTGAAATAATAAATATTTAAATAGTCCAGTGGCTTAGCATTTAAGGTCAGTATTGCTGGTTAATTCCGTCAGGGTTGCCTTTAATACGGGTAGAAGGGTTTTTATCCATTGTTGGTGCAGCTCCAGTGATATTCGTGGCTGCGGCAACCAGATGTCAACAGTCACACGCCAGCGACTTTGAGTTATGATTGCTTCGCTTGATGCTCCATCCGTAGCTAGCTGGCTACGCCGTGCTTGCCCACGTCTCTTCCCCATTAACTCTGACCGCTGCAGAAATAGGATAAAAAGTCTCCGAGTTCGCCGGGGTTGGACAAATCAGGTTGCAGCGTCTTGTGCGCATGCGCATATCAATCAAGGGCAGACTGCGGTTTTTTGGTAAGCGATGCAAGCTTATGATCTGGGGGTCTGTTCGGATTAGCGTTATAATGTTCATGTTTCTAGTCAACAAAGCTGGAAGCTATACGGGCATTGCCCGCGCGGCAATTAATGTTCACGTTGAGGCTTCGTAATGATTCAACGGACCTTCTTCGTGGCTCCGTTTCAATCTGCGGTTGAATGACATCGTTTGTTTTATTTTGGCTATGACTCAAAAACTAAACACTGGATCAATACAGATCATTACATGCGCCATATCTGGATTACCGTACGCAGAGAATGCTTCACGACTTGACCGGATAAAACCAGAGAAAAACCAGACTCAAACTGAGATAATTATCTGCAAAGGTACACCTTACGTCTGCTGCAAGGGTGTCGCCTCTTGTCGTCGATAATGTCACCTGACCATCCAGTTTGATGGAACGTGTTACTACGACGCCCGGGGAAAAGTTGCCAACATGTGACAGCGGTTGCTCACAGTAATTGGGCGTTGGGAACGGACTGATTCAGGGATTGGTAAAAGTTGGATGTATCCTGACAAATAACTGCACCACAGAAGCCAAGATGGTGAGAAATCAACACTTCCAGATATCAAGTTCTTAGTTCTGATATCAGTAGACAGATATCAGAACTAAAGTGGAGATAATACCATTTTCACCTGTCTGAAGACGTGGTGACTTATAGGATCAGTTGTTAAAAAGGCCTCTGCACTTGAGTTAGGTGGACATACGGGTGCCAGTTCTTCCTGGAACATTATCTGCCAGTAACCAGCAATACATGAGCTAAAATACGTTTGCATTACATCTTTTTTTAGGGAACATCGGTGATGGTAAACCTGTCGTGTTTAGGGACGAGATGTGATCTCAATGATCAAGTGATATGATCTCGTCACAGCACTGCAGGCTTGGTTTGTCTGTTCTCAGTTTCTCATCCCAACCACAACCAACACCTTATCTCACCAACGTGTCCGTATGCTTGTTCTCCAATTTCTCAGGTATCCCACCCGACCATGGAGATGGATATCGGGCCGGGGAGGTTCGACTCCATGGAGAAATTGTTCCTGGCGGCCGCGGAGAATGGCGACAAGAAGGCTATCATGTACGCGCTGGAGAAGGCCCCGGATCTGAACATCAACTGCACGGATAAGGATGGGCGGAGTGCGCTGGTAATTGCCATCCAGAACGGCAACTCGGGTAAGTCTGACATCTCAACTCTGGCGAGGTGTGCTGAGGGCTTGCAGTTGAGGAAAGCCCAACAAAAATAGAGGGGAAAAGGTACTCAAAAACTTTCGTGCACATGCACAACGTGCATCAATACCAAACTGTCCATTTACCAAACGATATTTCGAAATAGCTTTTTGTTCGAGGTGTGGCGCATTAAATTCATTGTCTTGGTGTGAGGTTATCAGCGGACAAGTTTGATCGCATGGGGCGATTACACAATCTTTGAGAGAGCTTACGTACAACAAAGAGACTATTTTTAAGTTAGGAACTTTTAACAGGTAAACATTCTTTTTGAACTCGGTGGAAAAGTTTGATCGCACAGGTCGATTACACATCTTTGAGATAGCTATCTTACAAAAAAGAGACTATTTTAAAGTTATAAATTTTAAACGGGGACATATTCGTTTTGAACTCGGATAGAACAATAACTATTGCCGGTCATTCCCTGTTGCACTTTCTTGTGTCCCGCAATAACTTTAATAATTTGATAGGTATCGATAAAAACATCTCAAATATTCATTCTTGCGTAAAGGCTTAAACCACAATTTACATACTCACAACACTTGAACATGACCTTTCATCGCTTGAATGGTCGTAGAAGGAAAAGTCACGAACAGTCACCCCCCCCCCCCCCCCCCCGTGAAACAGTTCAATAATTTATCGCACTCTGTTCGGTGTTAAAATTTGATGCCACTTGCTAATCCCTCCCCTGGCGCACATAGCGCGAGGGATAGGGGTAACCATCGCGACTTAACTGGTCGTGACTTGACCAATAAGGTCAGGGTTTGGTGGCGTCAAAGCGTTTCCCTGGGCGATACTTAAAACAAAGCATTACCGCATGCACAGATCAGGATAAAAACTAAAGCTCAAATGTCAGATCATGGTTGCGTATAAAACAAAGAAAGCTCGGTTTAGGTTTAATTGCTTGTAAGATGCATACCTCATGCTAAAAAAAGAGAAAGATTGTGTTCTTCTTACGTACGTTTAATTTGTACGTCTTGTTTTAACGAACAAACTACTTTATTCCGATTTGGGGCATCCTCAACCCTCTGAAAAAGGGCTTTCATTTTGCGCACAAATAACCCGCCCTGTGAAATATTGTCTGGCAGCCAATAATTCGAATTTTGTGAAGAAATAATTAAATAACTAAACGTCGGTGGATTTCTTATTTTGTTCAATGTCTCATTCAAAAGTGAATCACTTTTATATTGTTAGGAAAATAGCAATTGAAAAAGAAATCTACTTTTTCCGAGGTGAAACTCGAAAATAGCACGGGCAATGCATCTTGAAGACACGGGTAATGCATCTTTAAGACACGCACTCTAAATGCGTGTCAATTACGTGTACATTCTTTACACAACAAAGTAAGTTTAAAATCAACCAACATATTTAGTCAACCTCAGTATGTGCTCATGATTTAAAATGCCAGTCAGCTTTAGCGGGAAAAATGATTCAAATGCTTTGGAGAGAAAAAAAATGGACAAGATTTATGTCTCGAGCTTTCTCCAATGTCCGTGTGGCTCTAGTTACCGGCTTGAATAAAATACGACGGATAAAGACGGTAATATGAACGTTGTCAACCTACATTTTCGCGGTATTTATGTCCAATGAACGACGTTATTACAAAAAAACAAGTGCGGGTGCACAATAAGCTCTGGCCACCTGGCATCGAACGTCTTGCATGAAACGATTGTGCGTACAAGCCTAGGCCGACGTCCCACGCGAAAATCACGCGCTGTAAATTGACTAAAATTTGCCCCCTAAGTTTCCCATAAAAAGTGTGCTATAAACCACGTGATTGTAACATTACTGCACATAATCTTGCCTCCATTTACAACATTTTCATTAACAACTTAACGAATTGTTACATACATTTTTGAGAAGTATTTCATTTTTTTCCCTTTAAATTAAAATTTGAAAGTTATATTTTATGGGAAACTTAGGGGGCTGGTTTTTGTTCAATTTTCCGGGGAGAGACAATTATTATACGCGCATGCGCATCACTCTAGACAAAACCCGTTTTCTGATAACTTTCGTCAAGAGTGCATTTACTGGCGACGGCATGGTATTTGGTCAATTTTTTTGTCAATTGGTAGTTATAATTAATGGGAAACAGGGTGCCCGTTTTAGGTCAATTTTCCGGGGACAGACCTACCGACCGACCGACCACGAAGTGACATGTAGAAGCCACAGCCAGAGCTTAAAAACACCACAACTGAGATATCAATTCATAAACTCCTGAGATATTAATTACCATAAAATCTACAGCTAAACAAGTATTTCAAAGCTATAAAAAAAATTGGTTTTCTGCTTGCATTTGAATGAAATAAAATAATCATGTATTCAGATAAAAAAACCCTGATAATTAGATGTATATATTGGAGTATTCAAGTGGCTTGGTGGACAAGGGAAGTGGGCTTTGTTGCAGTGTTTGGATATGGAAATGATCACGTGTTTGTTGTCGAGAAACATTTTACCGGGAAAGGCTACGGATATGAGTAATTTCGAATCATCTCCAGTATACTGGTCGAGTGTTAATCCGAAATGTAATCACTATAGTAATACGCATGACATGAGCTGACTAAAGCAACAAACTAATGAGACATACATTATGCACACAGGACCTTAATCATGACTCAGACTCTACGGTAATTGAAATTCAAAGTTAACAATTAACAAAAAAATGATTTAATATAGGGCCTAACTGCAGAAAGAAATGTCTCAAACAAAGCCTCCAATGCACGATATCTATATCTCCACTGAATGTCAAAGAGATAGTGACTTTTAGTCGGACCCACTTTCAAACTTGTGGTAAGGCTAATTTAACGTGTAAACTTTTATCAGATGCGAGTTTTTTTTTATAACGTGGTATTCTACAAGTGAAGTCGAGTCAGTGGCGTAGCCAGGAATTTTTCAGTGTGGGGGGGGGGGGGGGGGGTGCCGCTGGGGGTGCTGGAACATTTCATGGGGGCGTCATGTAGATCATAATATTTTTTTTTAGAAACTCAAAATCTCAGTGGGGGGCGACTGGGGGGGGGGGCGACAAGGTTTCATGGGGGGGGGGGGCTGTCACTGAGTCGAGTAATCTTTGAAAAAGAAATCGAGAAAAACATTTTCCCAGCGTTTTAACAAATGAATAAGGCAAAACATACCGAAAAGCCAAATAATTGCCCACATTTAATCTAAATATACAAGTGCTATTAGTTTATAATAAGTTCAAACGCAATCTGCCATAGGCCTATATCCACGGCTAAACACTGGATAGTTGAAGAACTTTTTTAATTTTTCATTTTCTCCGCAATTTACCAGTAATTCTATACACAGCCAAATTAAGTGCTAACGTTGCTCGTAAAAGTCAACATTTTTCTGTCACTGCCTTTCACCCAGGGAGCTTAATTGAATCGCAAGCGACTCTCGCTGTGAATTATTCATTGTGTTGAGATCGATTACAGAAATGATCATGGGAAATACACGCTGCAAAAAAGGGGAAAAACAATCAAGGAAAGAGCTTTGACGTGGTCAGTGGAAACTAGGATAAACCAAATTTGACCCGATGGTTGTGAGATATTGATTTTGGGTGTTTATTTGTAGTTAATTATAAGAAGTAAGCTAATTATTTATTAGTTTATTTACAGTGTATTTAAACTATGTGAGGTATCAAATTTGTTTGTGGGGTTGTGAGCTTGTCTTACATACGCAGTGTGGACTTCCGAACAAAAGACGTCCACATAATGTAGGTAGCAGCGACGAAGTGTGGACTTGCCCACGTCCACACAGTGTTTCCCCATTTCTGGAAAACAGGTTTAGAGGCATTTTTGGGTTAGGTTTATCTGTAGCAGAATGAAGAGAAACACTAAAGGGAATCATTGAAAAAAATTGGGTGTAAGAGTTTTCACAGTTGGAGAAAAATGAGTTTTTCCACTGGTGTTCCTTAACTACACGAAAAGAAAGGAAAGTCCACACTAGGTATGTGAAACAAGTCTGGGTGTGTTTGCGTGGTGTGTTTTGCGAAAAACGGGAGCGATGTTAAACTGAAAACCAAACGTTTTCATAAAAAAACTGGGGGAAAATACAAATGGAACTGTTGACTTGCAAGTGAAAACGTGAACTTTTGTCACCCTTCGTCACAGTATGTAAAAAACTAAAGATGCTGTCGTGCATAACGTGCACGTCAATTCCGATAGTGATGGGGAATTCGTCAGAGAGAAAATGTAATTAGATCTGGGGACCGAAGGGGGTATTATGCTGGTATTGAATATGAGCGTCGGGTGCGTGGGAGGCAGAGAGGAGGAGGAGGAAGGAAGGGTGAAGACAGCAGGGGAAGAGGCCAAGTACGAGAGAAGTCAACATTGCTGCTGGTGTAAGCACCGGGACAGGAACCTGGGGCCACCTGCCGGCCAAAAACGGCAGTACACTCTGCGCTTCCGCTCCTCTGTACGCGGTACGCAGGCTAGGAAAGGTCGGATACAGCAACGCGTCTCCCCCTTCCGGTTGGGCCGGATTTCTTGCCATGTTTGGAAATGTGTGTTGAGGTAGAGCAGAGAGAGGGAGAAGTCATTTGTCACGAAAAAGATGTGGGAACGCAAATATTTGTCGAAGCTACGAGAGGACATGCACATTTTATAGCGTTTACTGGACAGGTTGCGGATTTTAAAACTGTCCTCTTTTGATAAGGGTGATCGAACTTTAAGAAACAGTTCTGTGAATTCTAAACAGTTAATGATTTATTTTATTCGTTGCCAACGTTTTTGATAGAGCCGCTTAATAGGAAATCATTCAGCGAAAGACGGGTTGTACTTTCCCTTCACCACGATGATAATAGTCCACCTCCAGAGGTGGTGAAAACCTTCCTTAAAATGGTTTAAAATCATATATGCGGTAATGACCTCATTATCTTGATTAAACTTTACAAAGCATATAAAAAAATAAATCCAGGCCAAATTCCAAAGGACTTTTTCTAAAACATTTTG